AAGGCAAAAAGATGGTGATGTAGGTGCCATAAACAATGGAGAATATGTTGATTGGGATTCCCCATGTGCCCAGCTGGAACGAGCTCCAGGGAATCTCGTGTGGAGCGCGGATGCGCTTGATCAGAAGAAATATGATGGGGATCAGGTAGGAGATATACTCGCCCAGTGTCGTGAGAGACAATAGCGCATTGAAGGCCGTAGTGGAGCCAATATTAATCAGGGCGAGGAGCACGGTAATTGTAGACACCAAGAAGAGTGCCCGCAGGGTAATCTTATAGTGTGGCGAGGTATAAGAGAAAAAGTTCGAGAATGGTAATCCCTCATCACGAGCAAAGGCCCACGTCAGACGGGTCCCAGATGCTACGCCGTTAAACAGCGCCACAAAGCCAGGCAGAATGAGCAGCATCATGAGACCAGTGGTGGCCGCATTAGATTTGGTGACCGCGTAGAAGATCTCAATAATTGGGTATCCGGTTGGAGTGTCCAGAGCGGCATCCAAGCTCCCCATACTATATGAAAGACCAATTGCGAATCCTAAGGCGACAAGTCCATTAATGACAACGCCATAGACCATTGACCTGGGAACAGCTTTGGGCGCGTCGTTTACTTCCTCGGACATGTGGACAACACCATCAAAGCCTGTCAAGAGGATGCACGTCAGTTTTTTATGAACGCACTGTCAACATATATAACGGAAACATAGAGAGACGCAACGCACCGCTCAAAGTGAAAACAGCGGTCAAGAGGCCAATCGACCAAATGATACCATTGTTTTCCCAGCCGCTAATAGAGTTCTCGAATTTGGTCCACACAAATTCGGACGAGTTACGTGATCCAAGAACGACCAGTGTGATGAGAACCACGGGAAAGAAAATGATGTGCATAATACCCCCAGAAACCTCCACGGGGGACAGAAGACGCCGAGCAAAAATGTTGACAATCAACGGTATAGCCAACACAGCCCAGATCATCAATGCCCCATGCCAGCGTTTGGCTACATACGTGGGATTGTTCTGGATGATCAGGCCCTCGATCTGCGTCCCAATCAAGTATGGCGAGGTGGCAACGTTGGCCCACCATGAAAACACCTACACTGTGTCAGATAGAATATACATACTCAAGAAAGCATTTTGCCGTCTCATCCTATCGTACGGTCAGTGGAAGAGGCCCTTCTTCAGGCAGCACTTTGATCTACCTCACCTAGTAAAAAAACTCAAGAATCGGGAGCTAAGTCATATGTCCAATGATACTGAGCCCCAGCAATGGGGATCCTACACAGACGGTTGGTTAGCTAGAGTCAAGCGCTCACTTGGATCGAAGAACAGACAGACATGGACGCAAGTTTACCCCAGCAAAAGTGCCAGGCCGAGGGACCCGACAATGGCCAACATCAGGCCGTAGACAATCGCGACAGGGCCTCCATTCTCCAACCCCGCGTACAAACTGGCACCGATCGCTTCCCAGGATGCCTGCGATGTCGCCGCAAACGCAAGCATGGGAAGGAAACCTAGATATCTCCGGTCGTCCAGAGTCAGTATGTACCGATTTTGAAAATCTCGATTCTTGGGACGAGGAAAGTTTGCAGGATACCTCGAGGCGTGGTTTCGGTCGATGCCCGTTCGCCCCTGAAGGCATCGCCTGAGTGACGGTATCCTGAGGGGATTTGGTTCTATGGCCATTGACCATCTCGATCTCGCTGTCGTCCATAGTGCTTTGATTGAGCTTCACGGATATCAATAATGATACGGCGACAAACAAAGAGAATAATGCGATTATGGACGGGGAGGACAGAGGACGGGGACGAACGGTCCAGATGATGTAGGACACAAACCAAAGTCGCTTCTGGTTTTAGGAGGGAGTACCTCGGCGGTACATGGGTGTTGGAAAGCCGTACAAGCATCCTTGCATCCAGCATTTGTCGAACCTGAGTGCTCCAACATGCTTCGCTGTGTGACATTGGGGCTTGGCGAGTCATAGAAGACAAATAACACCGGAACTCCACACTATCCTGACACAATCAAGTGGCTGAGCAGTAGGCTTGCAGTTTATTAATTATTATTTTTCTTAAACTGTGTTTTCAGTAAAGGGAAAGACCGTTAATGATTAAGGTCAGAGTTGCGATGCAGAGAAAATTGGTTATTTGTCCCTGCCACCAAAGTGCACTGGGAAAAAAAAAAGGAAACAGAATAAAAGAAAAGCCTTTATAGGACTAATGATGGGAAAAGGTATTATCAGGGCCATTATTTGTAGTTTCATTAAAGTCATGCTTGTATGTACTACTAGATTCTTAACCCTAACAACTACAGCTCCTTCTCTGTTATGGACCTTCGATTGTTAGCAAAGGGAAAGAAGAGGGATTCTGTTCTGGTTCTATTATTGCTTTACTAGTACTGCTACTAAATTTCTGTCCTTATTATAGACTAATTGGATCCTTAGAGGCTTAATAATAGTTTCTTTATAAAGGTATTATCAAAGATATTCGAGCTACCATTATGTGATGCTTACTAGCTGACAGATAGCGGTTGTAGATGTTGTATGATTGGGCAATTGGCCCTGGTTTTGCATATTATTTAGAAGTTAGTCCTGCTCCCAAGTATTCTATTAACTAAGTTATCAAACTAAGTTATCAATTTTTTTTCTTACTCGTTTACTTTACCTTTTCTCTCTCTCTCTTAGATAGTGATGCCTCTTATTCTGTGGTTTTTTATATAAGACTGCAGACAAGGCAATCTTCCATTTAGCAATATTTAAATACATATTTTATTGTAGTATCAAAACTGAAGATTCAATGAATTTGTCTTCTATTCTCGTAGATAAAAAAGACTGTCTAAATTCCATGGATATCATATCTACTTACTATAACCTCAGACATAGTGTCTTATCTAAGAAGAGATGGTGGATGAGACATTCCGATCTACTGGACGGTTTTGGGATCCAGTCATCATCTCGATGTCCCCGACATAGCATGCGTATTTTCTTTTGGCCCTGAGCTGCCCCTCTGCGCCTAGGCCGAGCCGTCCAATCTCGGCGTCTGGCTCACTGTCGCCAATCCATCCCGGCGTCTGATCCAGGACGGAAATTTTGCCTTCTTTCTTCCCAATCAACAGAGGCACATGTTCGGCGATCGCAGCGCCAATCCTCATCATGGCGAACGCGTTGAAGGTCGTGGTCCAGGTGGGCACATGGCTGGCGTACCAAGTCATCGCAAAGAGAGTGACAATGAACAGGCCCAAGAGCACGGAAACAACAATCACACCGCCAGGCTTGATTGTAGGGATGTTCGTGTCAGCACCGCGATCATAGAAAATCCATAGTTTAGGAATTGTCGGATCAGTTTTCGTCAGCCAGATGGAATTTGCTAGATATATTGCCCTCGTAAAGGCATCCTGCATGAACAGATTCCCTTCCGCATAGTGTTCCCAAAACAAGTGTAGCCACTTTGCCACCTCGACCGTTGCATCCTTGATCTCCCCGGTTCGAATGCAAGGATCTAAATTATTAGCGCCATCAGAATCGCTCATGAGGCCGACCATTGGCAGTGTACCGCTGCAAAGGTAGTTGTTTCTTGCCCGGTGCCTTGTATATAAGCCGATGGATGACGGGTGCGGGTAGCAATAAAGGAGTATTCGCCGAAGAGCGCCAGAGCAATGGCAAGCAATGGGGGCTTGACTGGCAAATACTCCAGGGAGAAAGCTCCCGCCGGCTCTCTTGCTGTGTTGTTGTCTTCGGGGTAGTCGGATCGATGCTTCAGGTACCTGCGGTAGTCGTTCTTCTGCTGACTGTAATTCTCTATTAGAGATTGCTTGGAAGGAAATGGATCTCAACTTACGTGGTGTTCTTGAACGAGAGATCATCATGTTGTAGTACGCAGTGAACGTCCTCGAGACAGAGCTCATAAGGGTCCTGCTCCAGGAGTGGGCCTGCCGTATTATTGTTCAGATAACTCGGCAACTCGAAATACCCGGCGGTGCTGTTGGCCTGTACTTTGAAGACGCTGGTGTTCTGGAAGAGCCCATCCAGCCATACCGAGACGTTGAGATAGAGTACTTCTGTCAAATCCTGCCGATGACGAGTGGGTATCCAGGTGTTGTTTGTCCCATTGTACGGCATGCATGCTTGAAGGCTGTAATTCGCCCCTATGTCCACCGAACCAGGACCAATATATTCCACGAAAAAGGCGCCCGGTAACTGGTCACAGCCCGTCGGAAATTCTGCTGCATCCACCAATTCGTATGAAAGGGATGAGTTCATCCGGGGGGCATACTGCCGGATCAATCCTGTATTGAAATTGGCTTCGACTGGCGCGACAAATGGCTGGGTGGAATTGGTCACGTCTAACAAGCTTGTGCCACCGCCGCTACTCATGCAGCTTATGTAAAACTGCTCGCTCTCGAATATGTATGGTGTGGGGACGCTGCTGCAATTGGGTGCATTATTGAGCCAGAGATTGGATTGGAAGTCCGTACCGGTTGATGTAGCCAACGCAGAGCGCAGGTAGGGAACAAACGTGCCGGCATCGGGTTCTTCGGGTTCACTGAAAAGGTCAGGTATGTCATAAAGAGGGCCCGCGCCGACTGGCCAACGCGGTGTTTTGATGGTTGTCTGTGATAGGAACAGCTGCTGGATGGGTGCGATAAGAAAGCCTGTTCAATGCAGCAGGTTAACATAGATAGTTCCAGATTCAGGTCTGGGCCTAGAGTTACATACCTAAGATGTGGATGAGGATGGCGAGCCACAGTATACCGCTGCCATATCTTTTCCATTCCTTGGGACGGAGAAGATGCCACCAAACGTCTACATTTAACCACCCCTGGTCCGCCAAGGTCATTGCCTTCCGGAGCGTAAATCCGTGTCGCTGCTGTTGCGCGTATGTGACTGCTGCTCTTGCACAGATTGCAGTCGCCAAAGGAATGGTAAGTGACCCAACACCGGCATTGATCATCCGCGCTGCTCGATAATATTTTTCATTCTGGTTGTAAAGAGCGGAGTATTGATCTGCTATGAGGTCATACTTGTTGCCCTGGTTGATGACCGCGTCATATGAATAGCCTCCGATTGGGCGATGAGATTGAATAACGAGGACAGTCCAGGCGAAGATGGCGCAAGCAGAATAGATCACCACTAGAAATAATACAATAAAGTTCCGATTGAGAGATATCGCTGGAACATTTTTGTCTCTTGTTTCTTGATTCCTATCGCAATCGGAAGATGTGTAGTCCAGTAATGCCTCTGCCTCATCACGCTGCTTTGGAAGTGTGTCCGCCATGACTGAGATGGTAGAATGAATAAGGTTGTTGTTCAATGAATCAAGTCGTGTCTATGCACCCTTTATTATATAGTATTGAGGCTGAGGCTGTGCTTTTGCGCATTAGCCAAAAGCTAATCGTGCATCAGTACCTGCGCTTTTACAATTACCTTAGAAGAGCTGCTCAGCCTTGTTGATCAACAGGCTCTAGCAACCAATTATAATTCAGTGACAACTGTTAAGTCACATTGGCCTTGGGTAAGTCACATGACCCAAAAAGGCACAAGTCAACTGTCTGCTTGACCAGTCGATCCTAGAGATTGATTATTATGCAACCGGGCCATCCAACATAGTTGGAACAGCCTTCATCTATCACTCAGTAAATCCTGATGATCACCTTGATCCAGATGTTCGAGTTCTTCAGGTAGCAAGACTCGTGAAGGGACGTATGTACCAAGAGATCCCACATACCCAGGTAAGTACCATGCTGCCAAAAATGGAAGCATGCAAGGCCAGGCATATTCCAACAGCCAATACTGTTCATGTTCCAAAGAGAGGCTTTCTATATCGGAGTAAAGCGAGTGCCAAGAGTGGCGCAAGGATAAAATCGAGGAGAGAAGCCTGTGCGGGGTTAAATGCTTCCAGATTGCGGAGATAGGAGAAGTGGAAGTAGTGGCACGTGCTCTACACGTGACAGCCCAGTGGATGATTGCTGAAGGTAACCCAGATTAGAGAACAGTTGTTCCATGCCAATAATATAAACCCTGAATATATACCTCCTCTGTATTAGAAATAGTAGACAGATAGAATATCGTGAGCTACAGCACATATAACCTGTCATGTCTATGTGTACGGTACACTTTACATATATTTCAGAGATTATATATATTTGCTCAGATCGATGGATGTAGACTGCTTATGGCATGCGTTGGTGCTGCTAGTTTGCACAACTGCATAATTAGATGCCATACAATATTCATACAGACAATTCATTCGAATGAAATCATCATCATACTCATTGACTTCAAGGGTATCTCTATCTTCTCCCTCTAGTAAACCCATTTTACTAAAATCATACACCATGAAGACAACACTGAATTGAATGGCTTGTATTGTTTTCACGCTCATCGCTGGAGAACCACTTCGAGAATTCTCCGCGCCTTCGTTCCCCCTAGATAATCTCTCCCTTCTCGTCGCCTCTCGTCCTCGTCGTCTTCGTCAGTAGCCATTTCGAGGTCGATCTGCAAGCTTGCTTCGTATGCCCGCATGACCGTCTCCTCGTCAACCCGGACACCGCCCTCGACCAGCACGCGGATGCACTGCGCCAGGCGCGCAATCTCGCGGCGCGTCTGCGGTGGGATCTCATCGTTCTGACTCGAATAAATCGAGCTGGACACCATTTCCTCCATCCGGGTGATCGAGACGCTTTCCGTCGCGGAGGATGCCGCTGCGCTACCATCCGCATGCTTGGAGATCCAAATGTAGCCGTTCACGCCCAGGATGACATCCACCTCACCGCCGCCGTTGGCCGTGTTCACCGTCCAGACCTGTCGTCGTGAGCGGACTACTCCGCCAGCCGACGCGGCGGTACCTGATCCGACTCCTCCTTTCACCGCCGATCGCAAGGTCGCACCGGTACCCCCCGTCCCCGTCACCGCGAGAAATACACCGTTTCGCAGCTTCCCATACTTCAGCGACCGCGTATGCAAGGACGCTGACCCGTCTGAATGCACAGTCTGAACCTCCGCGACTACGAGATCTCCCTCGCTGAAGAACGTCCGGATTTGCAGCTCATCAGCGCTCGTGCGCCGTCGCAGGATACCACCGGGCAGGTTGATCGCGGAGAGCGGCAGCTGCGCCAGCAGCGGCGCCGCCACGTCGACCTTCCACCGACGCGACTGCACCTCGACGATGCGGCCAACGACCAGGTCACCAATCTCCGGGGTGTAGCGTGCCCGCAGGGGATGGACCGAGAGCAGCTTGTTGGTTTTCTGGACGTTGCCAGCGACGGTGGCGATGATGGAGGTTGAGTAGGGGGTGGTGAAGGTGCCGTGGCCTCTGCAAGCGAATCGTTAGAATATCGTATTCCATAAGGAAAAGCCAGAAGTAAAAAAAAAATCCGCCAAATAGTAGCTCACCTCATCCACTGCGGATCGTCCGTCACCAGCTCGCCCGGCACGACAATGCCAGACCTAGAGTCTCTCGGTTTGCTTTTCTTCCCTCCTGCCAACCGAGGCCGTTTTCTTAAAGGGAAATCCATTTCAATGTCTCCCTCCGAGTCTTCAACTGGCTCCTCGACCTCCTCATGCAGCGCTCCGCCAATATCCTCCACGACGGGAGGAAGGATCGTAATACCCATGGTGTGACGTGTTATTAACCCGGTGAGAATGAAAGTAAATTCCGGGAATGAATTACAGATGATCGATTTTAATGAATTCGTTGATGGGGGGATGACGCGGAAAGGTCGTCTCCGACGTGAGAGCTGATTCTTTCGTCTGAATCTTTGGCGGCGTGAAAGCGCAGAGAACAAACACGACAAAGTTAATACCAACACGTGACTTGCAATGCCCTGTCTCCTTGACCTAAAGTGGGTGACATAATCAGAGTCACGTGACGCACAAGACCGATAGTGGCATCTGTGGGTGTGACCATTGGCAGTAGCTGCTGTACCAGAGGGCAATAATGCCGTGCAACATTCGCCTGCACAACATAGCTCTACTCGATACTCCGTGCGTTCTCTCCAGCTGGATCACGAGGTGCACAGACTGCAGTAATAACATGGCTATAAAAAAGCTGTATGCAAGCCAGGGCTGGCGAGATTTTCGGCAGCGGACACGGACCGTCTCCCTATGGCGCCCTTGCGATCAGGTGACTCCACGCGGGCCGGCGTCTTAGTCAGGCTCTGCACCCCGGAAGGGCAGCGATCGGCAGCTCCCGACCAATGCGAGCGCAGCGATGCGAGCGCAGCGATCCTCGCTTATGCACGAGACGCCCGGTCCGGCCCATCGTTCGCCTCGCCGCGCCAAGCCAACAGCGGAACCGGCGCGGAGCCATCCGCTGTGCCGGGGTTACCAATCCTGCGGCCTGGAGCCCCGACCCGACAATCCGCGCCAATCGATCGCGGCGGGAAATTGGGACAAGGGGGCCGTCCCGGTGCTTGGGCCTTGGGCCTTGGTCTCGCCCTGCCACCTTGCCCTTGGGTCTTCTTCTCCCCTCCTCCAGTGCTGGTCGCCCTCATCCTCCGTGTCCATGTTGTCCTCCTGCTCCCTTGCTGCATGGGATTGCAATTGCATCTCCTAGACAGCAGTCGCCATGGCCTGCTTCACTCAGCTACGTGAGAAGGTGCCTACGTGGATCGAAGAAACCAATGGGTTGATGGCCCACGTGCACGCCAAACGGGCCGAGTTCGCCAAGGCATGGGCCAGCCTCCCTTCTCGCAAACGGAGGGCCCCCGACACCATATACAGCAGGAGTCACCGCACGCTGAGGACGGCGAACGGGCACTACCGCTCGCATACGGCCAGACCATCTACCCTCTACGCTGGTTCGAAGAGGAACAAGGTTGACAGCTGGTCTCCGTCGCCAGAGCTCGCCGTCTTCTACGATGGGCACACGCAGAAGGTGCTGGAGGAGATGGTGCGACAGATCTGGTCCGCAAAAAGCAGCCTTCGACAGGCGCGCATCTCCCACACGATGAAGACGACATTCCGGGGGAAGTCTAACGAGAATGCCACCGCCAACCAACCATCAAGGCGTGGAATCGCGAAAGAAAGCCCATTTGACTTTGTCGACGGGCAGCTAAACACCGCCCAAGGTCTCTGCGAAAGCGGAGCATATCGATTCCTCCGCGAGGGGGACTGTCTGGACGAACTGGACGGACTCGTCCAAGCGTTTGAGATGATTCTCGAAGCGTCAGAGACCATAGCGGAGCGGCTGGAAGCCGAAGAACGCAAGTTGGGAGAGCAGGAAGAGCAAGAACGACAAGCTGCCAACCAAGAAGAAGGAAAATGCCCAGTTCCCGCCCGGACTGGAGGCACCGACGATCCGTCCAAACCCGGAGATGATATTCTCGAGGTGGACGACAACTCATCGACGTCGTCCGTCGAGATCGATATCACTGCCTTTCGACTCAACCGGTTTGGTCGGGGAATTCCTTCGTACTATCCACGATAAACCCTTCTCTCTCGACAATGCAACGATTATGATATTTAATGGCCCATTTCGATTCTTGACTGGAACCTTGCAATTCATCGATTCCATCGGCATAGGCACGCTGCCACACAACGCGGTCAGCCATGCCTGACTCAGTTCATCGTTCGTTTCGCCTCACGCGAGTTTTCTTTTCATATGTGTTTGAAACACCGACCTGTTACGTGCTAGCGGCGTGGCTTTTTGATCGATTGCTTCTGTCCTTCTTTCGCTGGCGTTGGCAGAATCTTCGCCTTAATACGTGATATCATTCCGGGATCATTATTCATTCTTTAATACTTTCTTTCTTCCTTCCATCTGTCTATTCATTCCTTCTGATTTCCTTTCCTTTGTTTATCGATCGATTCTCGTCGTCAGGAATCTGGTGTATGGCGGCTATGTCCACATGCATCTTCAAAATGGGGCGGGTATTTTGTTATTCCCAGGTCAGGTCTGCTTGGATCGGATTCGAAAAAAGTTATCAGGTAGTTAGTGGACAAGCAATGACATCAATGCATTTGACAGGATGATAACTGAGATAACGATTGTATGTGTGTAGCTGGTTAGTAGGGATATCAGCTACCTGTCTATCATGCGGAGATAGCGAGCCGTGTCATAGATAGTAGATAAAATGGCACATAGCCGTAACCCACGCAATAGTATTGTTCATAAATCTGCCAGCAGTTCGCCCCTAGGACACTTGGACCCCTATCATTCAATTGAGTGAGAAGGCGAGTCAGGTGATTCGCCCTGCCAGCGACATATCCAGATTTCTTCTATCCCTTCGGACAACAATTTTCGCCATTCCTTACTACTATTGCTCGAGTTTCATTCTATTAAGACCAAGACACAACATCCGTCGTGGGCTCTGGTGCAGTCATAATGGAAATCTCAACAATTCGCCAATCCCTTGAGCAGCGACAGGCAGCCTGCATCGTAATTGACATCTTCACCCGCTGTTTCCCTGCCAAATCTGTCGATGCCGCTGGCCAAGTCGTCAACGAGAAACTACTCCCCTGATGCGAAATCTGGGCCTGAAGGAAGAGGACGATCTATCAACCAGGCGAATAGCCGGGACTTTGATCGGTACTTACCCGGGACTGACTCTTCTAGTAAGACGGGGAGGTACCTTCCATCCTCGCTAATCAAGGGAACAGAAGATACGCCATTTTGACAGTTGAATTCATTCCTCAATTTGAGTGATTGAAGCATATTGAACCACGTTGCTCGCTTATTAACTTCTATAAACTAATGCGCTGTTGCTGACAGGCATTGGCCAGCCTTGTTACTGCCAGCCTTGCTGACTGCGAGCGGGGTTGAGGCTGAACGTGCCGGCATCGGTCGACTTCTCGTCCCAAACTTCTCTCAACGTTCGTCCGATCTCCATCCATTCTCATCAGTTTCTGTCATGCTCAACGCAAATAGCAATAGCAACCATGGTAGGTTCGGGAATAATCACCCCGGAAGCCGACTGACAGGCAGGTGCGACCCATCACCGAGGACGATCTGGGACTTCGGGTCCTGTACGATGGAACGAAGGATGAAACCTCCACAGACACTGAATCGTCGGTCGAGTATGTCCTCCTTTGCGCTCTTCCGGAACTGTCGTTAATCTGTTCAAGCATTGTCGCTGTCCACGGGTTGGGCGCCCATCCGAACGATTACCTGGTGCAAGAAGCTAGACACTGGCGACGGTCAAGTCAGGTACTCAACTGGCTGAGCGAGCCCAGCATGCTCCCGGCAGTGGTGCCTCGTGCGCGAATAACGCGCTATGGCTACGATTCGCGATGGTTCGGTGAAGAAGCAGTGAAGACAAAGGCCTCCGATATTAGTCGACCTGACAGATTTGAGAGAGGTAATAGACACTTTATTCCATTGCAAGACTCCGCTAAGATTAAGTCACCTGGCAGGATCACCAGCCAGCATCGGCCGCTCATTCTGATCGCCCACAGCTTTGGCGGTTTAGTCGTCCTAAAGGTGAGGGCATATACCTGGCAGAGGACACAGACGCTAACAGTCGTAGACGCTGGTGGATGCATGGACGGAACGTCATCGCTGGCCGGGAATCTACGACGCAACTGTCGGCCTCGTCTTCCTTGGAGTTCCTTTTCGAGGAACCCACGACTCACTTCCCCAAGGCGAGATTATCCGGCGAGTCTATGAGCTTTTCACGGAAAGCCAGGTGCACGGAGACAATCTTAGCATTCTTAAGGCAGGAGGGGAGTCTTTAATTGATCTGGTGGACTTGTACCTCCGCATCGCCCGACAGACAGCAATGCCTAGGGTGGCGTGCTTTTATGAGCAGAAGGCGACTCCGGTGGGCGCTATCTTTGGAAAGAGCGTGGTAAAGGTAAGTTGTTAAAAAGTCGCTCCAGGATTGCTCTGATTGTTTCAAGGAAATTCCACCTGTGATACTAGTTAGCGAAAGCTCGGGATGCCTCGATCTGAATGCATCGTCGGATAAATGCCCATTGCACAGAACACATTTCGACATTAACAAGTTTGGTGCACCTGACGAGCAAGGATTTCGAGTCCTTCGGTCTGTCATCCGGGAGATGGCAAAGAGGCGTCCAGGGTCAGTCTCCAGCCAGACTCAGTGGACGTATCAAGGAGATCAATCTCAACTGATCATGTCCAAAGCGCCCTTTCCTGGTGAAGGGTATTTTGAAGTACCTCGAATCGCCGTAGGTCGATCTTTTGGTCGACGGAAGCTCGTGCAAGAACTGCATGATTTGCTTCAGCCGGGCGACGACCGGCCGTCAGTGGTTGTCCTGCAGGCTCTCGGAGGACAGGGAAAGACTCAGCTGGCGCTGGAATATTGCCAGCAGTGGCGGAAAGCTTTTCGCGGTATTTTTTGGGTTGATGCAAGCTCCGAGTCAACGGCTCAACAAGCATTCGAGTCCATCGCGTTGAAATTGCGACACCCGGCCAAGCCAGTCTTAGATGATATCTCGACAAAAATCCAATTTGTGCTGAACACAATCCAGAGCTGGAAGGAACGCTGGTTGATTGTGTACGACAACTATCATGAACCAGACTCTTTTCGTAATGTTAAAGACTTCATGCCTATGAGTAAGTTTCTCCAACGAAATGAGATGATTACATGCTGACTGTGATAGACGGGCGTGGGTCGATCATCGTCACCAGTCGGCATACCGGAGCAGAGCGTCTGGGAAAGCCCATTCATGTTCCTTCAATGATCGATGATGGAGGAGTCGAGCTGCTCCTTCGAGATTTGCCGGCCGATGAGATCGAGAAGAATGAAACCGAGGCACACAACATTGTCCAATGACTGGGAGGCTTGGCTTTGGCTATTGATCAAGCTGCGGCATACATTAAGTTCAGGCGCATTCCATTGTCCAAATTCATGTCTGCATATGAAGAGGAGAAAGCTAGGATACTCAAATACACTGACGAAGAGCTTTGGGAGTACAAAAAGTCGACCACACCGGCTGCGAAGATGCGAGCTCTCAGTGTATTTACCACATGGGAGATGTCGTTAGACCAGATTGAGCTTGAGAATCCAGAACGCAAGCAGCAGATCGCTCGCTTTCTTGCCGTGTCAGCTTATCTGGACCATCGCACATCAGTGATTTTCTCTTTGACATCCATTGCAGAGAAACCAGAAATCCAGTTCCATGGCTTACCATATTCAGCCCTCCTGACGAGCTGTCCGATCAGGACGAGGCCGACTCGGTAGCATCCGATTCGGTTCAGCCGGCCCTATGGAGTGCAGAGGAATTCTGGCGCATCATCGAACACCTTTATCTGCTGTCATTGGTACAGAATATTCATAGTCACCCCAGGATGTCGCTCTCAATCCATCCTCTGGTGTCTGATTGGCTTCAACTGCGGGAGAAGCCGAAAGATCGAAAGGCATTATGGCGAGAATCAACTACGCTCCTAAGCGTGGTAGCCGACAGTAAGTTGGCGGCGGTATGGTCCGCATATCAGAGACAGGAGGTTCTAGGCCATCTTGGGACTTGTCTTGGACATTCAAAAAGGATCAGACCCCAGAACGTTTTTGGGACTAGGCGTATGAGATATGAGACGGAGTCATTTGGTCGCTTTCTTATGGGCCACGGGCGATATACAACATCACACAACCTTTTGTTCAGCCTTTATAAGGACGACCTTTCACAGCAGGGGGCAGAAGGTCCTGATACGTTGAGCAGCACGACTGATCTGGCAATCCTCTACCAAAGTCAGGGTTGGTGGAAGGAGGCCGAGAGTCTTCTCACCCAGGTGGTACAGGCCAGCAAAGAAGTAGTTGGAATAGAGCACTCAGACACCATAAGACGCATCATTTTGCTTTTACAAGTGTACAAAAAACAGGGCCGGTGGAAGGAAGCTGAGGGTCTTCTAACGCAGGTGTTAGAAACCTGCAAGACAGTATTGGGAATAGAAGCCCGTGTCACTTTGAGGTGTATGAATAATCTAGCATCAGTCTATCAGCAGCAGGGACGGTTAAAAGAGGCCGAGGAGCTGAACAAGGAAGTTTTAAAGGCCACAAAAAGAGTTCTGGGAGCAGAGAATTGTGAAACTTTGCGTGCCATGAACGATCTTGCAATGATCTATTTTTATCAAGGGCAGTTAGAGGAGGCAGAGGACCTACAAAGGCAGGTTCTTGAGGTCAGCCTGAGGCTACTAGGGGCAGAGCATCCTGATACCCTTACTTCCATGAGCAATTTTGCAACAACTTATTGGAAACAGGACAAACTGAAGGAGGTTATTGAGACCGAGAAGAGAGTACTAGGGGCAGAGCATCCTAGCACCCTTACTTCCATGAGCAATCTTGCAATAACTTATTGGGAACAGGGCCAATTAAAGGAGGCTGAGGACCTACAGAAGCAGGTTCTTGAGACCAGGAAGAGAGTACTAGGCGCAGATCATCCCGATATCTTGGTTAGTATGCACAACCTAGCTGTGATATGGGAATCCCAAGGCCAACTTGATCAGGCAAAAGAGTTGATGCACCAATGCGTCCTCCTGAGTCGGGCCGTATTCGGACCAGACCACCCCTATACACAGGATTCCGCCAAATATCTGGCTGAGTGGGCCAGGAACAATGAACAAAATCATGAATCCCGATTCTCTCGATTTGTGCATCGAATCCGAAGTCGAAAGCAGCACTGAATGGTATTTGACTGTTGTTGAATCTACAGCTACGTGTCCATGGCATTTTTACGAATCTCTTTAATGATTCTTATTCCTCTTGCGTTTTGTTGCTCATCTCGTTATTATATCTAGAGGTTATCACGTTTTTTTTTCCTTTAAAATGAAGAAAAATCAATTGTTGGAAGAGGAAAAAAAAAGATAAGTCGAGGGGAAGAGAACCTCAAGATCGAAATATCTCCTCCGTTGAGAAAGGCCGCATTCAGCTGCGTCAGTTATTGGAAACGTCTTTCGACAGTGACGTATCCAGAAGAAACTCGTTCATGCGTTTTTGCTCAGGATATGGCGGTATTCATATTGGTCAAGCACGCGACGTTCCATCTGGACCACGGAGCTCGCCAAAGGTCCGGTCCAACTATGGCATGGGGATGAACGTGGTCGCGTTCAGGACGAAGACGGACGGAAAATGAGAGCATGGTTCGCAGTGGGTGCTGCGTGGTAACAGGCAACAGATGCTGCGCGATTTCGAGGCTGGCATGGCAATCGAGGATGCATTGGTTCTGCCTCGATTGCTGGGAGAAGTCCAGGGGAGGGGGCAGATGCGGAAAGCGTTCAAAGTGTACGATGCGGTGCGGAGGCCATGAACGCATAAGCTGGTCACGACCAGCAGGGACGCATGATGTCTGTACGAGTTTCAGAAAGAAGGCATTGGCGACGATGTGGACGCGGTGCGGAAGAACCTGGATGGGAGGATGGGGTGGGTGTGGGATCTGGATCTGGAGGAGCACCTGGATGAAGCGAAGAGGGTATATCGAGATGCAAGTGATTGAGAGTATGATTTGTCAAGCTCAGCAATTAGCATTTACTTGGAGAAGCCGTATAACTCCGAGGACATCTATCCTAGAGGGGAAGACAAATATAGGTACAATAATGCTATATACTCCTTACACTTTTAGCAGATGACTCCAGCTAGACCTAATAAAGTGACTAAGATGGTGTGTGACAAGAATTGGCTGCTGTCTGGATTATACATCCTTCTACATAGAGGACATTATAGGCAGTTAAGGATCTAACTAACAGTGAGAAATTCTTAGGCTAATCATTCTGGCTCATTATTATAAGACAGTGAAAAAGCGAAACATTAAAAAGAAAAGTTCTTCTAATTAGATCGTCGATATTCGTCTATCTCAGCGAGCATGGATCAGCAATCAGGTGATATCACATTGGGATGGCCATATGGACGGCAGGTATTGCAATCTTGACAACTAATCAAGTCCAGAGTGCAGATGGATGTACAGTACGTATAGTACACACATGTATGTACACGTGGATACTTTTGCACACAGCCCTGAAGACTGTTTTCAAGATTGAACTTCCCGATACCTGGGGATAGAAAGCATCATTTCCGATCCAACCTTATTCAGTTGCTGGTATGGAGAAAGTTAGGTATGTACTGTGTACTTGCATGTATGCACACCAATGTACTCCAGCAGCCCCCAATCTTCAGACAGTTAGACTAGAACCTAGATGTTCCTGCAGGATTAGCCTTAAACACAAGCTTTCGCCAAAAAAGCCAGCTGCGCAGGGTACATACATATCGGAATGTTGTTTTTATTTGCTTCCAGTTAGTTGTGGCTTCGATTCTGTGCCTAGCACGAGCAGATAAAAATATACTTCATTCTGATAAGCTACCATCTTTTGGGCAGATCGAACCGCATCTTGAGATTTTTGAGCAGCTTGTGGACACTATCGCAGCCGACCGTGAGAAAATCATATTTCTCTGCTACACGCTCCTGAATCGTAATTCGCAGTTCGTAAAGAGCCTCGGCTTTTTGCCTATATTCTCGATATCGTACGAGAATTTTTCCGGCAAGAATTCGTATTCTGCTTTCTCATCTTCGGTCAATTCCGAATAGCGAGTCTTTTGCTCATTGACATCTTTTATAGATGGATACTCTGGCTTCTGTAGAACCTCCGGATTGTCTCGATTGGGATTAACATACTCCCATATTAGCTTTCCCTCCGCTTGTGCGCGGATCACCTCAAACCATAGAGGCCAATCTTCCGGTCTATTCAAAATGAGCGTCCTAAATGAGGTCGTCATGGCGTCCAAATCCGATGTCAAGTCGGGCAGTAAATCGTCGTCTCAATGACTTCAAATCCGTGATCGATATCGGCGAGTCCACCGTCACCCAACCGGCGCTGAGCGCAGCGATATCGTTGTCAAATCAGGGTCTCCATACAGCCGGATTCCTTGAGAGAATTGGCTAAGTGGCTTCGATATACGGTCTCAGGTCAGCTCGCTATGGGGGTTACCACAGCGATGTCAACCAATATGGCGCTAAGCCTAATCAGGAACTAAAGGAGCGAATAATCTGATTCTCTAACTAAATAGAAGGTAACAGCGACTCTACCTTATAAGTGAGCGGATTCTCAGTCCAAATAGCGATAATTTTAGGAGAAAATTTTCGCTGGAAACCCGATAACTAACTAGTTATTGACCGATAACCGGATTAGGTAATTGTGCTTCCTGACCAATCAGATCTTCTGTACGCCCTGTAGTAGTCTTGATCTCCCCCCCCTCGTGATGTTCCTGATCGTCCGAACTATTGATATTTGTGTAAGTGAATAAAAACGGTTATCATGTTATCATCTTCTCCACAGCTGTTCTCCACGGTGCCAAGTTACTCCGATGTCAATCTCCGTGGGTGCCGAAAATAGTAGTTCAGGTACCGATACTCCACGGAATTCCGTCCACGCGTCGGTATTCCGATGGAGAAGATCCACTCACTAGACGCGAATATCCATATATTGTACGCAGTGGAGTAGGGTTACGGGTGGACTTTGCGTCCTCATACACTAGACGTTACAATATGACCCAATTCTAAGCGTATTTCTATCGCAGAAGTATCCTACATATCATTCAGTATACATCAACCTAGTTCAGATTCTACTTCCTGATCAAGTCCGCCGCCCTTTCCGCCACCGCATACACCGTCGTCATCGGGTTCGCGTGCGGGATCAGCGGAAACACGCTGGCGTCGACGACGCGCAGGTTCTTCGTGCCATACACCCTCAGCTCCTGGTCGACCACGCCACCCTGCTCCCGCGGCAGCATCGCCGCCGTGCCGCATGAGTGGTGCATCGTGAGCGCTGCGTCACGCAGGAAGGCCTTCGCGGCCTCCAGGTCCTTCGCCGGTGGGAGACCCTCCGCCTTGAAGAACGGCTGCAGCGCCCCCGACGAGGACAGCTTCTCCAGCGTCTGCAGGTGGCGCGCCATGACCTCGACGTCCAGCCCGTTGGCGAAGAATTTCGGATCGATCGTCGGAGGCTGCGAGGGATCCGCCGACGAGATGTGCGAGCTTCCCCGCGAGAACACCGTGCCGGGGATCAGGCCCAGCACTGCCACGCCTCCCGGATGCACGCTCAGAAACAGACAGCCCGACGACTCGTCGTCGATGATCGACCGGACGACGCTGTGGTAAGTCTGGTCGCGCGACGCTGGCGGATGCTGGTCGAAGAGCGCCTGGTCGAGTTACTCCGGCAGCGGAACGAAGGCCAGCGCCTGGATGCCCGGGGCGACATCGACGCCGTCGCTCAGCGGCACCGGCACGATGCTCATCAGGTGGTTCTGCATGTTCTCGCCGACGTTGGCGTTGTCGATTACCACGGGGATGCCGTGGCGGGCGAGCAGGTCCTTGCTGCCAATGCCCGACAGCTCGAGCAGCTTGGGGGTGTGGAACACGCCGGCGGCCAGAATGACCTCCTTGTTCGCCTTTACTGTCGAGGTCTGGTCGTCGATCGAGACTTCAACCCCCGTAGCGACCACGTCTGATGCAGAGCCCTCGAACAGGACCTTCTGCACGGCGGCCCCCGTGGTGATGGTCACGTTGGGCCGTTAGGATGCGGGCAGGCCGTACTGCATGTCTGCACCGCTGCGCTGGCCGATCGCTGGATCGATCGCCGCCGTGTAGGCATAGCTGCCAGCAGCCTTGTCGGCGTAGAGGTCGGCCGTGGCCTCGTAGCCCAGCTCCTTGACGGCGTCGTTCCACGCCCGCACCAGGGGGTTCTTCTGGCTGATGGCAGGGTATGTCACTTGGATGGGACCAGCAGCCCCCTTCTTGGCATCATCGACCGCAGTGACGCCCACGTCCTTCAAGGTCTCCGCGTCCGGCGTGTGCAGTGTGTAGCTCTTGTGGAAATACGGCAGCAGGGACTCCCACGTCCAGTTCAGATTGCCCAGCCTCGCCCACGCATCGATGCCGGCGCACAAGGGCGCGATGAACGCCAGGCCGTTGATGGCCGAGCAGCCTCCGAGGAGTCTGCCCTGGGGCTGGTCTGTCGTGCGGTTGTTGAGGCCGGCCTAGATGTCCTCTTAGAATCGCCTTTTTTACATGGACATATGGGTGTATATTCTCACCTGCGGCACCGTCTGAAGCTGCCACCCCGCATCTGACTCCAGCAGGGTCGGCCACACGGCAGGATCGCGGATTTTGGGATCGGTCGTCCGGTCCGGGCCGGTCTCGAGTACGACGACCTTGACGTTGGGGTCTTCAGAGAGCCGGTTGGCGAGCACAAGGCCAGCGGTGCCGCCGCCGACGATGACATAGTCGGCCGCAGAGGGAGTGGACGCCATGGTCAATCGTCAGGAGCAATATGATATATATGACACACTGATTCCGAATCAACTGAGAGCACGGATACTAGGTGATGGAGTGATTCAGGGAGATTGGACGTGAATTCAGACAATCGGCCTACATTTATAACATCTGCCAGTTACGTAGGCATGTTTATGCTATACTATCAGGCGCTGAATTGACTGAGGAGGGGTGGTGGGGCTGATCGACAGTGAGTCCTGTCCTCTGCGCTAGTAAGGCAATGCAATCCAGCAACGAGATGCAACAATTGATCTTTCGCATGCAGTAGTATTAATTATTGTTGGTAGGTGCAGGAGTTCTTGAGCTGAGCAACGCGCGAAGTCCAATTTTGGGACGCCAACCAACCCGGGCACACCATCCGATATCCTGCAGTCTTCTGCGTTAATTTAGGAAGCAATTTAATTAATCAGATTAGGGCTGTCGGCATCTGTTGGGTGGCTTAGCGGGGAACCGAACTATGGACGTGCATCGTTTATCCGAATAAAAATCGATTAGGCCTGTGGAGCATGTTAGTTTGTCAAGAATCAGGCCATCGATGGCTAGGTCGAATTCAGGGAAAATCCTGCATGTGTATGGGGCCTGCTGAGATCGTTAGGATAGTACAGTGTAAACCACAGGCAGAATGACTATTATCACTTCCAACACTCCAGGTACCGTGCTTAGACCAGCATCATGACCATGGATTTATGTTCCCAGTTGATACTTCTGACAATGTCCATAATCAGGATTCCTTCTATTCTACGCCGTCCTCGAGGAATCTGATCAATTACCCAATCTGTGCCCTCGTATAAAATATATTATTCAGATAGTATGCTGCAGCTAGCCCAACAAAACCAAAGGACAACAGCTAATAATAGTAGCAAGTCCAAACATTATCGTTACTCCACCCACGTATCGACTGCAATCTTCAGCACTTCACTCAACCACGGCTCATCCAAACTCGCCGCTGCATCAAAGCCATGCCCGCCGGGCTGCACAGACAAAACCACCCTGTTTCCCTGTCCGTCCTTTAGCACCTCTCGCGCCTTGCTGACAAACCGCCTGCTTGCCTCAGCCATGACCATGTCATCCTCCGCGCCGTGGATGATGGCAATCCCTCCCCGGGGCAGTTTCTGCCCGGGGCTCTCCAGCCGCTGCGTCTGGAAGAGACGGTCCCGATGGAGCGGCGAGGTCTCCGTCCCCCGGACATAAAAGTCGAGAATTTTGTTGTGCTGGAAACACGCTGCTGCCAATTCGGTGCGCTGCGGCGTCATCGATGACGATTCCACATCCCCCGGTTTCACGCTCTGCAGGTGCTCCTCGATCACCGACTCGGGCACAAACGGCAGCAGCTCGCTCTTCGACGGCGTGTACAGCGCCGGTGGATCGATGTTGACCATCGGATACGCCACCGTCGCCGCCCGGATCTCGTCCGGATGCGTCAGCGCCAGATACAGACTGAGCACGCCCCCGGCAGACTCGCCTGCAGCCAGGATCCTGTCCAGGTCGAGCTCCAGCCCGACGACGGTGCTGAGAAGATTGCTCAGCTCGGTTGAATGCAGCCACGACCAGACATCGTCCACGTCGCTGAGGATCTCCACGCCCGTAGCTTCGGGGAGGAAGCGGTAGTTGGCGGAGATGATGACGGCGCCGTGTTTGGTGGCCAGTTCGAGCAGCCACGGCGGGAACCAGTCGGCAAAGTAGATGGAGTCGCCATAAACCTGCCCTTGTTATGTTATCATCAGTAAGTACGGTACATGCATGTGGCCGACTTACCAGACTCCCACCGTGGAAGCGCACAATCACCGGCCGCTTGCCCGAGGGCACGTCCTTGGGGATCAGCACGTCCGCCCGGATGCCATGCTCGCCGACTTTTTTGTAGTCAGTCTGGACGATGGAGAAATTGGCGAATTTTTCGTGGACGGATGCGCCGGGGATGGCTGACATTGCTGAACTGCTATAATTGGACAATAACTTCGGAGCTGTTGGTTCTTCCTAACAATGTTGTGTTGATTTTGCGAACAGAGAATGCTAGGGGGGGGGGGGGGGGGAAATAATAAAATAAAATAAAAAACAAAAAGGATACTATCTACTGAGAAGGAATCAACCCCCTTTATAACAGTAAAACCCGCAAAAAGCCAATCCTGTGTGACATACATCACCCTGTCTATTAAATAAAAACCACCCGTCGTATATAACACAACTACTCCGAGCTGTAAAAGCCCGTATATAACCAACAAGGACTCTGCGATATTTGTTAGACCGTATTACTAATACAGAAGGCTTCTCTCACTGGCCAGTATTATTTGGAGAAATGAGGAACATGCTCAATCTGCAATTTATGTCGTACATGGGGTATCTTGGGTATGTCATGTGGTGTAGGAAGTTGGTGTCGAGTTAGCTACTCCGCAGTCGTCCCCGCAGTTCTCAACGCTCTCATTGATTATTTAAATTTGTGTTTGCTTGCTTTTCAGATGCAGACATGCTGTTTTTATTTTATCTTATCTGATTTGCTTTGCTAGACTTAGCAGAAAACCCTGTTTCTGCGGCTGAACGATCACGCAAAAAACACATAGCAAGGGGAAGATGATCTGATTTAATCGATTGGCTTGTTTGATAGCGTCTTGAATTCCTAGACCTGAAGACAAGAACTGACCTAGGTACAGTCTAGCTTATTCGTATTCTGTCTGGGAGAATACATGATGCAATATTTATTAGCCCGTACAAGAACTTCCTTTACAGGTTACAAGGTGCAAATATGATCGACTCATATCTCGGGGAAAAACAAAAATAAAGGAATAAGGACCATGTTTGTATGTACAATACATACATAGACTTACATGTGTATGTCATACTATTACCTTATTTCCAGGATGAGAAAACGCCCGTGGTCTTATCTGAATTTGTACTATCTTTCTTTTTTTTAAACCAATGTTAAGTCAACTACTACTACTACTACAAAAGAATGTAATCAAGGAAAAAGAGACAGAGAGAAATTTCTAATTTCGCGCCATCGGTTATAGTCGATCATCCAGTGATAAGAATAAGAGGATAACTTGCATAGATTAGATGTCTGACTCGAGTGAATCTTGTGCCGGTATTTTGATAACAATAACACAGATCAGGCAAGTTCTGTACTCTTGCATCTTAAATATTGCTCTCGGACTCTGTAGGTAGCATCAGAGTTAGAGCTGCAGAGGATGTTTCAGTATGGACTTGCAGGGCAAGAAAGATTAAATGTGTATAGACAATATTCCGTATTATTAACATAAGATTTTGTAGTGTATTGAATATGAGATTATGGCGATTCTGCAGGTACAGAAGAAAAAGCCAGCCATTTATTTTATTTTCTTCACTTCGTTTATTCCAGTCAATTAATTTCCCTGGAAGGAATTAACAGAATTGTTTACTGGCTAAAACAAATGGTCCCAGCATGAGTCAAACTATGACTAGATAGCGGAAGGGCAGCTGCACTGTCAACTCCTATCTCTGTCTATATAGCTGTCATGGCTCTGTATATTAGAATGGATTGTTGTATATTTCTTGTCCCGTTATATACATATTACATGGGACACACGTCTTGCGTCGAGAGGCTGAAAGGGAGGCAAAGTTTTAGAACGCAAATACACAATAAAAAATTATACATCACAGTTAAATAAGGATATGTCGCTTTTGTGTTTTCTTCCTCTCTGTCCTGCTAACATTCTCATGATTGCTAATGCCAAACTCCATTAATCTCGAGATTAGATACAGTCTCAACTACCTACTCTTAGACTATCCTGTCAAGCTTTTGAACATTCCTCTCGTTGCACACCAGCTTCTCACTGCCAAGTACAGGTAGAAATTGGGCGAGAGTCCACCGACGAAACAGCTGTGTTATGCCACCTGTAAGTGATGGACCAGTCTCGTCCATTCTATCATAATCGCCGGGATGCTGTCCAACGCGAACCATTCTGAACGTTGGCCCACGCGAGGATTCACGCCAAAGTGCCTCCAAACCGCCTCCATGGAGACGAAGATAACGCCACCGTCGTTTCTCCACACCGGTAGCTGGACTAGTCGATCTGCGAACTCGATTTCCAGGGCGTCAGCATGGAGAGACGACGTGTCGATGCGTGCCAGCAAGACCCAAGGACGACCGTGAGAGATGTAAAAATCTACACGTTTTTGCGCGTCCTCTAAACTCGGTCAGAAGCTATTAAAGAAGTATTTATAGTACATGCTTACTCTCATTGTCAAAAACGGAGATGAAAGGCGTGGGCTCGGACGATCGGTCATTCCAGTCGAGATGTCTTTCGAATCTGCCTCTGTTGATCCAGTGAGACAGAGGCATGAGGTAGTGGCCTCTCGATTCAAAACCACTTTCTGTATCGTAGTACGTAAAGGAATCTGGGGTCTGGACGCGGTAGAAGTAACGGGGCAGTGGAGGCACTGGATCCATTATGGCTGGCTGGTTCTTGTATGACATGGTTGGCGTGGGAGAAGATGGTCAACTGGACTATGCAGTAGACAGTCAAAAGTGTGACGATTCAACTTGCCTGTCGTCACGTGAGCGGTGAGAAAAGCGGTGAGGTATAGGTACGGCAGAATACTTGCATAAATCGCCTCGCTAGCGACCTGGCTCCCTTCCTTCTTCTCCTCTCCTCCCAGCCTAGTCTCTTGTAATTTAGATCGCTCCTAGTGATAAGAAACTGCTCTATTGCCTGGAATTGGATCCGTCACATTAGACTAGGCTCAACCCACTCATTTCTTACCATTTCTACTGCTTCTAGATACGGTCTGACGCGTCTACTACAACAGTCGACGCAGACCTCTTGAAGCTGCCAACTGCGTGCCAGCGACGTGGTGATCAACTGCTGGAAGATACTGAAGATACTAACGATACCGACGTGAAAGCTGCGATAATGCTGAATTGAAGACATCCGAGAATCAGGAATTGAGACGAGACGAGACCGAAGAGTCAACGCAGAGACCAAGCAACCAAGACCCGAAGAACCAGGGAACGAATAGAACAAACCCAACTGCAATAACAGATCTGTGCTACGGACACAGAAGCTGAGAGGAGGGTATTAATATGGCGAGACCATCGAGTGAACAGAAGCCTCCTAGACGAATGACACTCCTACTGGAGGGGAGACCTGGAGAACCACGAGAGATAGACCGAGAAGAATTTATTACCTACTGTCGTGATGACCCTGAACGCCTCTGGCAACTGATGTTGGAAATAAGTGACGAACTGAGGGACAAAATTGAAGATCTTGAGGTTGAAGCCGCTGGTGCGCTGCTTAAGATTCAGGAAAACGAAGGAATTGCAGCCCTTGCCAACCAAGAATTGAAGAAGAAAGAGGACGAGCTTAAACAGACGACCATCCAGCGAGATCAGTATGCCAACCAGATTGCACAAATGATGGTTCGAAGCAACGACCTGGGTACCCTGGCAGTAGGCCCTGCCACCCGTAAGTCTATCAAGCTTCCAGACCCACCCCTGTTGTCCGATGGAAAGAACCCTAAATTCGACGATTGGCTCGTACTCATGCAGCAGAAGCTGAGCGCGAATGCGGACCACTATGATACCCCTGAATTGAGACGCGCCTACGTTGCCAGCCGATGCGAGGGTGATGCGGCAAAACACATCACTAAACGCCTGAAGAATGGTGCCATAAATGCTTACAAGGACTCGACCGACCTGCTGGAGCACCTTGAGCAAATCTACCACGATCCGAACCGCCTCGCAAGTGCAAAGCTCAAATTCCGTGGATTATTCATGAAGAATAAGGACAAATTCCACGACTTCTTGTCCGAATTCATTTATTGGGCAGATGAGGCTGAGATTGACGAGAAGGACTGGAGGGAGGAGCTATACCAGAAGATTACAACTGACCTCCAGAAGCTGACTATGAGTGAGGCCATCCGCACCAATGGAACTTTTCAGGAGTTCATAAACTACTGTTCTCAAACCGCGAATCGGCTGGAGGTTATCAATAACCGTTCGCAACATAATCGTGTCTTTAGGAACTGGGCCTCTTCAAATCAGAATCAGAACTCGCCAGTACCTACTAATACTGTGAAGAGGGAAAGCAAAGAGGCAGATCGCTTGGGGGTAGACTCAGAGACTCGTCAACGTCTAATGCAGGAAGGGAAGTGTTTCAAGTGTCAGCAGTTTGGCCATCTCGCCCGTGAATGCCCTAAGCAGATGCCTACCACTCAGCTCAAGGCATTGGAGAAGGCCAATAGTAAAGAAAACAAGTCAACTAGCACCACAGAATCGGAAAACGACAGTGCCTAGGAGAAGTCTCCATCCTAGGCGGATACCAGGTCCCCCTATGTCAACTGAACCTGCAGGAACTATTGGGAAGGGAAAATGAGAGTTTTACCATACCCACCCGATTAGTTGTCAATGGATACACATTTGCAGTGAGAACATTAGGAGACACAGGAGCAAACGGATTCATATTTATCGACACAAACCTAGCAACCCTCATCGCGAAGACCTTTGGCCTACATACAGTCCCATTAGGACGGGAATACGCAGTACAAGGATACGATGGCAAGTCAGAAGCTCCCGTCACACATGCCATCTTCATGACACTGGAGGTCGACGGCAGAAGACAGAATAATCTACCGATGCTGATAGTAAACTTGGGAAGGCACGATATAATACTTGGAAGGAAGTGGTTTGCCCAATTTGGAGTCCTGCCAGACTGCAAGAACCAACGCCTTCTTTGGCCCTCAGAGCGGGCTGCCTTTGACGAAGTGGCCGCTCAGACAACTCGACCTTTACCCCGCAAGATATTGAAGCGAGCAGACACAATACAGATGAATTACCAAAAGGACGCAGACCGCAGGATCGACTAATGGAGCAAGAGACCAGGAGATCAAAAAAGGACCTAACAAGTCACTACAGAGATAGGAAACCGATAAGCCCAGCAGCGCTAGACATCACACGAGAGCTTTTCCAGCCGACAGATCCAATTCCCCTGGACAGAGAAGAAGATTGAAAGTTCACAAGACCTCCCAAAGATTGACATCGCAGCAATAGGAGGCTCGGCCTTTACGCGATATATGAAGGGAAATAGTGCCGAGGTGTTTGTCACTAGCCTCTATGAGATTGATAAGATGATACAGCATAAGAAGCCATTATGTGACATCACTGAAGAAGCAGACCTTCGAAAGTTGGTTCCATCATACTACCATGACTACCTCGACGTCTTCTCAAAGAGGGCTTCAGACACCTTGCCACCATCACGTCCATGTGACCATAAGATCGAGTTGACAATGGAGAATACGCTTGGCTATAGCCCTCTGTATAAGCAGTCGGCAGAAGAATTAGAAGCCACAAAGAAATACATCATGGAGAATCTAGACAAGGGATTCATCGAACCAAGCAATGCACCATTTGCCTCTCCAATCCTGATGGCACGAAAGAAGGATGGAGGACTCCGATTCTGCGTTGATTACAGAAAGCTAAATGCAATCACTAAGAGGGACAGATATCCATTGCCGTTAATTGATGAATTGATGGAACGCCTCAGTCAAGCAAAGATCTTTACAAAGCTCGATATCCGACAGGGCTTCCACCGTATCCGGATGCATCCAGACTCCGAGGACTTGACTACCTTCCGAACACGATATGGATCCTATAAGTACAAGGTGATGCCATTTGGGCTGACTAATGGACCGGCCACGTTTCAACGATTCATCAATGAGACCTTTCTAGACTATCTGGACGATTTCCTTACCGCTTTTATTGATGATCTGTTGATCTATAGCAGCAATGAGCTTGAGCACCAGGAGCACGTCAAGAAGTATTGCAACGTCTGCGAGAGCTGGACTCCAAGCCAGCATTGGGAAATGCGATTTCACGTCAAAGGACTAAATACTTGGGCTTTGTCGTTGGCACTAATGGTATTGAAGTCGACCCTGACAAGGTGGCAGTAATTGCGCAATGGAAGCGACCAACTACAGTAAAGGGCGTGCAGTCCTTTCTAGGATTCTGCAATTTCTACAGGCGGTTCATACGGAATTATAGCCGGATTGCACGACCCCTGAACCACCTTACCCGTCAGGACGTTCCCTTCCAATGGACTCAGGATCATGAAAAGGCTTTCCAAGCATTAAAGGAGGCATTGACCTCTGCTCCAGTATTAATACACTATCAGCCTACTCTCCCAACCCGGATCGAGACCGACGCGTCAGATGGGGTCCTAGGAGGAGTCCTCT